TGCAGGGTGGAAGGGGTCAATGGGGAAAAAAGGGGACTTCTGTAATACTTTCAACAATAAAGGTAATTTTTTTAAATGAATAAATGAGAAACAAAACAAAAAAAAAAGAAATATTTACTGATGAACCAACTTCTTATAAAATTAGTACTTGTCCAAATATGTCTCTGTTGAATACCACCAGCTATCTCTACCCATTGTGGTAACCCTTTTAGTTTTTCAGGGGATCTTGATGCTATAAATATTAGCCAATGCAATGCAAATGAAAAAAAACTGAAAGCACAATTCTTGCAAAAGGCAGAAGACCTCCTGAACTTGATGAAAGGATGTCACTGAATCACTTAACATCTGAAGACCTGGCAGAGTCAGGACTGTTATAACTGAAGAAAAGAAAACAACAATACACTATCAGTGTTTCAAAATGAAATAATTTAGATTACTAAAGGATTAAGAGAAACTCTGAAAAAACTGATACTTTAATAATTTTTTGTAGGGGAAAGGTTCTTTATAATCAAGCCATAAAAGTTAACTGCTATCATATTTTACCACAAAAACAATACTAAAACAAAGGTATATAATAACTCATTCTCTGTTCTAAAAATTAGTGCATATTAGAAATATAATTTAATATAGTTATATAAAAAAATTTAAACTATCTTCATAATTTTTAGTTTCATTTTTCCAGATAAGTCTTAATCAAAAAAAGGTTTTCCTTATTCACAATAAGTTTGGTTCTGGTTTTAAGTAGATGTACATTAAACAGTCATTTTTATCCTTAGCTGAGCAAGTCTTATGGTACTTGCTGAACTAATTATTTGTCCAATAACGTTCCTAGTTCATTATCACAAGGGGGTTTATGTCAAGGGTGTATCTCAAGGCATGCCTGTGCCACCAAGGCAGGCTGCATTTCACAGCAGAACAAACTATCAGAGAGAGAATATGTAAAAGCAAAAGCCCACCTGACTTCACAGGGTGTGTATCATCCTCACATGTCCTGATGCATCCATCCTACCCTTGGTGGATATCTTCCTATGCTAACCTTAGGTAGGGAAGCAGCGAGCATCTGGGAGGGAAAGAACCTGCTCACTTGATTAAATCACTGAGCTAAGCCAACAAATTAAGACTTTGGAACTAGCCTTCTTTAAAACATCTTGTTATATGAGATACTAACTTATTTTTGTTGTATAATCATTTTATTGGGGTTTTCTGCAGTTACTGCAGCTAAAAGCATCCTAACATATACATATCATAGAACATGTGTACATGTATCATATATATATTGGTAATACTTCTGGAGGCACAAAAGCATTATAGAAGATTACAATCTAATTGTAGGGAAAAACTAATAAATTTGAAAATTTCAGGTTTGCTATGGAATGTACAGAATTTTTTAGATGAACTGTAAGTGTTTTAAGAAGAATATGCTCAAGTAGTCATAAAGATAAGGCATTCAAGTAATATTTATATAAAAGTTAAGAATACCACATGGAAGCATCTTGTATTAGAGCATTTAAGAGTCAGATCTTAGAAATTTTGTGGGAAAGGGAAGAAAGTAAAGAGTTAAACATAACCTTAAGGATTTTAGCCAAAGAGAAACAAAACAAACACTAAAAGCAAAGCAAAACAATGGTGCCACTGACAAATTATTACAATGAAATAAAAGCTGGAGTAGACAGTATAGTAAATTTCTTAAAACAATTAAGGCTGTCAAGGGTGAGAAAATAAAGAAAAAGGGACAAGAGTGTGAGACCCAGCCCTGGCTGATGTGACCCAGTTGGTTGGAGCATCGTCCCATGCACAGAAAGGTCACCAGTTTGATTCCCCATCAGGGCACATACTCAGGTTTCAGGTTCGATCCCCAGTCAGGGTGCATATGGGAAGCAACCAATCAATCGATGCTTCTCTCTCTCCCCCTCTCCCTTGCTCTCTCTAAAATCAATAAAAACATATTTTTAAAAAAATAAAGAACTTAAAAAAAAAGGTATGAGACCCAGATTCTAGGTCTGGGGCAAGGAGCTAGGAGAGAATTAAAGTAATTACACAGCATTAAGAACAAAACAGAATAGCACAAGATGCAACAGTGGGTAAATGCAGAAATAAAAGATGAAAGTCATCTTTCTGGTGACTCCCTGAAATCCAATTTCAAGGCCATAAATACATGAGCTTCCCTTTGTTCCAGAAGTGAAGCTTTCGAGTAAGAAGCCCATGCACACACCTTAATAAGCCTTTACATGTATGGAGTGCTCCAAGGTTGAAAAACATTTTAACATTCATTAACTCATTTTATTCCTATCACAATCCTTCAGCCAGGCAAGCAGTATTATTAATGCCATTTTACAGATGGAATTAAGGGCCCCAAATATAACAGACTGTTTTAAATAGTATAATAAATTTAAATGTTTAGTAAACATTTTTTTCAAAACTGAAAAAGATTCACTTCCCCTCAAAAAAGCTATCTTTTATAAGAAAATCAACTGTTCTTGTCATAACTTATAGAATGCCTGCTTTCCTGCTATTACAAAGACGGCTTTAACCAAAAAAACCATCATTCAAACTGTCAGCTAAAAATTATATGCCTCTAGAGACACCAAATGGAGAAAATGATTATAGCAGATTTTCAGTGCAACTAAAGGGCAAGTTTCCCCTTCTTTACAACTTTTAATTGAAAACTACATAATGACCTTCTAGGGTGCTGGAGGAAGCCTCAGTTCCCATTCCTGTGTCTCCCTAGAAGGGGAGAGAAGGTCCATAGGAGTGAAAGTACAGGAAGAGCACACCTCATTTTCCCCACTCCTTCACTTCTGACTCTCAGAAGAAAAGTCATGCCTTCGCTGACTGGCTGGTTAGCCTGAGGCCCAGCTGGCGGGGCTGAGCCCTCTCCTCTCTCTTTTTCAGATCCAGCTGGTTTGCAGAAGCTATAAAGTGCTCCCTCACGTCCACGGTCATAGGGGCAGCCTCTGACTCTATGAGGGAGGCGTCCCATTGCCTGCCTGGGCCATTGGTGAGCTATGAACAAGTCCACTGGGCAACAGATCTAAAGCCATGTTCTTCCATGTTTTCTCAGTAGTTAAGCTGATGCTCTGATGTCCATTTAGCTTTTGTCTCATTTATCAATCAGTTACACAGTTGGGAGAAAAAGACAAAAGATGTTCTGTAGTGGCCCCTAAAGCAACAAGCCAGAACAAGAGGTGAAATGCAAATAAACCAAACAGAGAAGAACTCTTTCTTTTTCCTTCTCATCATCATCATTTTTGAAAGCACTTAATAAGAATTCACACATGTAGTTAATAACATAGTTCTGTGTTATCAAGCAAACAGCACTACTTTCTAGTCAGAGTATCAACAGGATCACACAAGCTCAGCAAAGGTTAAAAAGCCAAAGCACTGAAGGCCTAGTGATGGGAACTACACAAACACAAACAAATACTAGTAAACAGTACTCGGTTCTAGGAACAAAATCAGATTTTGAAGCAACTCTAGTTAGATTAGATGACCTCATATTTAAAGGATTCTTCTATATTTAAAATTCTGATTTCTATCTAAAACTCTACCTGCAGCTCGCACGGATCACTTTAATTCATCTTTTTTTTTTATCCTGACTCCAGGATAGTTTTTCCATTGCTTTTCAGAGAGAAAAAGAAACATTGCTGTGAAAGAGACACATTAATTGGTTACCTCCTACATACACCTCACCAGGCCAGGCATGGAGCCTGCAAGCGAGGTAAGTGCCCTCGGCTGGAATCGAATCTGGGACCCTTCAGTCCGAGGGCTGACGCTCTAACCACTGAGCAAAACTGGCCAGGGCAAAAATCATGCTTTCGATAGCTTCTTTTTTTGTTTGTTTTATTGGGGCAACACTGGTTAATAAAATTATATAAGTCTCAGGAGCACAATTCTATAATACATCATCTGTATATTGTATTGTGTTCACCACCTTAAGGCAAGTCTCCTTCCATCACCACTTGTTCCCCCTGTACCCTTTTCTACTCTTCCCATCCCGTCTCCCTGTTAATCACCATACTGCTGTTTGTCTATGAGCTTTTTAGTTTTTGTTACTGTTTGTTTTTTTGCTTTCGCCTTTTCGTTTTTTTTATAGCTTTTTTAGCAGTTCAAGTAAAGTGCAGCTATGAAAACAAGTCAATGAATAAACATAAATCTCTTACTCTTCATCTGTAAAAATACAGACATTTCCTTGTACTACTCGAAGTTTTTGAAGGGACTTAATCAGGTAATATATGTGAAAAAATTTATCAAAATTCCAGACACATATATTTTGTTTCCTTTTTCTATAGCCTGAAGCTACTATCTTTTGCCACTAGATGGCAATGCTGCTTCAGTAAATTACGGCACCAAGGGACGTCTGAATTTTATTTAACTTTTAAAAGTAAAATGTTAGGGGTGGGTAGGTGAAAGTGGGCAAAGGGGGATAAATGGGGACAGATAGAGACTTTACCTTGGGTGATGAGCGCACAGTATGCAGATGATGTTTTATTGTACACGTGAAACCTCTATATTTTATTTTATTATTTTATTTTTTAAATTTATCTTTACTGTTGAAAGTACTACAGATGTCCTCCTTCCCCCCCCCATTGATCCCCTCTACCATGGATATTTTAATGAACCAATGTCACCCCAATAAGTTCAATAAAAATAAATAAAATTTTAAAATATTGAAAATAAAAAATAGCTGGCACTTTTTTTTTTGAATAAAAAAATAAAATAAAAAATAAAATAAAAATAAGTAAAAGTAAAATGTGTAAAAAATTAAATTACAGGGCTTTTCCTGGCATTTAATAAGCTTATAGATAAAACTTTCAACACCTAAAAGAAGCTGTGATAATTTCACATTCTGTAAGAAATAGAAGTGCTAATGGTGCCTTTACTTTTCATTTTAAAAATCTTAATTCATTTGAATTTAAAAATGTGAGAAATCCTATGAAAAGGGCATTGTATAAGGTAAAAACATTTGTTGATAGCTAATAAAAATATCTATAAATATTTACCTCTGACCCCAAACTGAGAGAAATGATCTCATCTTCAAAAGCAGAATGTGTGTCAATATGAGGAGGAATTCCTAAGACAAAGACAGGATAATATGTTACTTCATTTTCCCTCTCAATAGATTCAAGACAACTCTAAACATAGCTTCACACTATCATGATGAAAACACTGTCTGATAACCAGGAAAATACTACAGTTTTAGTTAAAAGAAAAGATTTAGGGTCAATGTGACTAATAAATAAAAGTAAATTAAATCTACACTAAAAACATCTCAACTTCATGTTCAAGTGCCATTGAGACTTGATTCTAAAATCAAGACTTGAAAGTCACTGCTTACCTCGGACATTTACTCAACCCCAGCCCAAGAGGAAGATACCAAGGATAAATAACAAAGTCGCTTTTCCCTTAAACACTGGATTCCCAAGAGCAAAAGCAATAGCCAGGTGTGAAGGCTAAGCAAACAAATAATTAAGATATGGTTTCCTCCACCAATCTCTCAATCTATGTTAACTGAGCACCTCTTAAGTGAAAGGAACTTTGCTACATGGTGAGTATACAAAGCAAATAAGACAGTCCCCGTTCAAGGAGCTTACAGACCAATGCTAAGACTGATTGGTAAATAAGCAATCATAATATATTATATATGTAATATATAATATATAATATAAGTACAGGGGAGAGAAAACATAGCTCCTGCATTAATAAAACTTTTAAGATCATTTGATTACTACATATATCAGATGAAGATGCTGCTAACAAGTGTAAAGAAATCAATAATCTAAAGACTTTTCATGAACATGTCACCCTAGAATTGTCTTCCACATTCTCAACAGAGAAAAAATAACAAGATCATCCAACCAATTAGCCTTCTTCTCTGTTCAGGCACAGCTCAATTCCAGGCGACCACAATAAAGCGAGTATCACTACAAAGTGAGTCATAATCTTTGGCTGAAGAGCCTTGCCTTCAATTTGTAAAAAGCACATCTGTAGTGCACAATAAAGTGAAGGCCATAAAACAAGGTATGCCTGTATTTGTAAGTTATTTGGTTTCTTCCATTATACATGTCTTCTATGTTTTTAAAGCAATCTTCTCCCTCTAAATAAAATATTGAGAGGGAAACAAAAAAAAGTCACAAATAGCAATTGTGTCAGTTTGTTTGCACTTTGAGATGCAAGTTTCGCAAGAGACTGACATAGATTCGCAAGGGATTCAAGTCAACACAGCAAAACATAAGCAAGTTACTCTAAGAGTTTGAGCTTAAAAATGATATCTTTGATTTTAGGGAGTTACACAATCTAATTCGTTACGAAATTTTACTGAAATTTTAAAAGAAATACTCACCATGCCCAGGTTCATACTGGTTCACAGTCAACTGATCAGGTTTATGTCTAATGAACCCTTCCTTCAACCATTTCTCCAAAATGCTATCACAAATGTCAGGAAGACCTGAAGTAATTTATTATAAAGGTGAGACATATCACAGTATTTACTTTGCATGTTTTACCCAAGAATAAAAAAATAATAACTGTGATAAAAATCATACAGCTTTTAATAGTTAGATCCAAATATAACAATAAATCCACAAGCAAAGCAAAATATAAAGAAAACCTTCCTAAGAATCTGTTATTATATTGATTTTTATCAAATTAAACATCTAAAAATAACAATTCTGCTGACTATAATTTTGATATTTTGTAAAACAGCAATAAAATTATAAAATTTACTATATTCTATACTGGAAATTAAAATGATCACTTACTTTTAATTTTAAATTATTCAATTTATTTTAAATTTAGTTATTTTAAATGATTTTTTTTTTTAATCCTTACCTGAGGATATTTGTTTCCATTGCTTTTCAGAGAGAGTGGAAGAGGGGAAGAGAAGAGAAAGAAAAAGGGAGAGAGAGAGAAACATCGATGTGAGAGAGACACATCGATTTGGTTGCCCCCCTTACGAGTCCTGGCTGGGGCCGAGAATTGAGCCTGCAACCGAGTGAGTGCCCTTGGCTAGAATCGAACCTTGGACCCTGCAGTCCACAGGCTGATGCTCCAGCCACTGAGCCAAACGGCTAAGGCAAATTATTATTTTTTAAAAAAAAACACTTTTCAAAGTGGAACTAACTTAGTTTCACTGGAGTCATAAATGTTACTTCATGAAAGAAGGAAACCCTTAAATAAAACCAGTCATAAAAATATAAATAAATTAAACTCAAAAAAGAATTCTACCAAAGGATTAATATCCATATTATACAGTAAATTCTTACCAATAAATGAGACAACCATTAGAAAAAACTGGTAAAGTTTATGAAAAAGTATTCACAGGAAAAGAAGTACAAATGGCCAACCTCACTACTAATCAGGTAATTATGAAGTTAAAAATTTTACAATTACCACATATTGGTCAGGGTAGGAGAAAGGGGTGCACACTTGGTAAGAATATCATGCATAGTTGTTTTAGGGGGCAATCTGTCAGTATCTATTAACATTTTTAAATAAACATAACTTTGACACAATTCTAATTTACTACTCTCCCTTTAGAAACTCTTGCTTGGTGCATAAAGAGGCATGTATAAAAATTTCACTGAAGCACTACTGAAAAAGCTAAAAAATAGAAATAACTTAAATGACTATTAAAAGAGAACCGACTAAGTTATTATTGTTATTCAATAAAATAAAAAACTACATAAGGTCTCCAAGATAAAGGGACAAGAACAAGCTGGAGTAATACATAAAAATATGACTTATAAAATATACTACTACATATTAACAACTATCCACTCTTATCTTTGGATGTAAACTCATTTTGTAAAGGTTTGGAAAAATACATACTAAACTGTTAATGGTACTACTTCTAAGAAGTATGGAAGTACAGACAGTGTTCAAAAGAAATTTTAGCTTTATTTATATGTGTGAAGTTTTTAAACACAAAACTGCACTATTTATCTAACTAAGTTTTAAGTTTAATCAGCTGTTTTGAAAGTTTACCTAAAAATGACAAATGAAACACTCAACTATGATATACTTCTAATATATTAAATCTTTTTTTCTGGACCAGCACTGATTAACAATTACTTACCCCCAGATAATGGCTTATCTTTATCTACATTGTTATTTTCATAGTGGAATTCATAACCAAAATGCTTCACTCTTCTGTGCTTTAAGGATTTTTGAACTGTATGAAGAGAAGAAAGTAAACTATTAGGGTAAAAATAAATTTCATTCCTTCACGTATTCTCAAGTCAGCATTATGAGTAAGGATTAACTTTAGTAATGGTAACTTTTGTTGACTGCAAAATTGTCTTTAATAAAATTAACCATTCTACCACATATCTGATGTTCTTTTAAGTCTAAAATTTTAACAAACACTTAAAGAGTTTCACCCAATCAATCTGAAAGGGCTAAACATGTACACTGCCACTCACAGGACTGCTAATGATCCAGAAAGAGTCAGAGTAACTAATTTGCAGATATCTCCAGGAGGCTCTCACTACATAATGGTAGGACAAGGAACTGTCGATTCCTCAAAGGAAATCTGCCTCACGTAGGAAAGGAACAAATAAGATGATATATGTATAAATGTTAGGTCCACAAATGTCGTCTAATCAATATTAATCGGTTTGGAGTTTAGAATGAATAGCGATGTAAATGTTATTTATTATTAATGCTACTAAGATTTGTTGGTATGACTTGACCAACATTGGATCCAGGCTACTTTAAGGAATTTTGAGGAAATATCAGAGTTGTAATAAACCAAAAGAGGAGAAGAAAAAAACGATCAGTAACAGCACTTTGCAGACACTTTTAAAAATCAAATTTTAAAGGTTTTACTTACAATTTTGATTGTCCGTATCCTCTGTCCAATTAACACTATCCAAAAGCAGTTTCTCATCCTCAGAAGAAATAATTTCTTCCACTACTTTGAGGCCTGGAGGTAAGGCTTGGAGCCCCAACTCCTTCCATTGTGCTGTGGGAAACAAAGTCAAAATAGTCACACACAAAACTTAAAGTTCCTATATGCAAATAACTCCATCCAACAGCCAGTTATTAGTTCATAAAACTCCCAATCCTCATTTTATGAAATAAGAATGCCAAAAGGCATGACATATTAAAAGGGCAAAACAAAGACCAAGATAAAAATTGTGATACATTTTATCCACTGCAATTACCAACAGCAAAGAGAATAGCATTTACTTAAATATTCTGTTTGAACCTAATTGAGTCATTTTTTAAATCTCACTAAGAAACTAAGTTTTTAGGTTCCAGTCAAGACTGCAGTGTAGGTAAACGTGGTACTGGAACCTCCCACAACCACCTCAAAATTACAACTAAACTACAGAACAACCATCACTCAGAACCATCTGAAATCTAGCTCGACAGAAGGCCTACCACTAAGGATATAAAGAAGGCACATCGAGACTGGTAGGAGGGGCAGAGGTGTGGAATGAGCTGATCATACACCCACATGTGGTAGTTAAAAACTGGGAGGGATATCTAGACTGCAGAGGATCCCCCTGAGGAGTGAGGTCCCACCTCCACACCGGGACCCCAGGCAAGGATTCCAGTGCCAGGAAGAGAAGTCCTCCTAACTTCTGTCTGTGAAAAACAGTGGGGATTGTGGCTAAGTGAGATGCAGGGCAGCTGGAGTCCCAGGTGTTCCTCTTATAGAAACTGCGCAGAGACTTAATCAGACTCATTCACTCTGAGCTCCAGCTCCAAAGGCACCAGGGATATTTGGGAACTGAACTATCCAGCATCAGGGGGA